GCCTGGGTATCCTGATCCCTGGCCTGGGTATCCTGATCCCTGGCCTGGGTATCCTGATCCCTGGCCTGGGTATCCTTATCCCTAGCCTGGGTAGCTATCCTGATCCGTGGCCTGGGTATCGTGGGGTATTTGTTGCCATTACGGCGCTCATGAGATTTCATCTTTTTCTCTCATAAACCCCCATTCCTCGTCGAAAATCCATCCATCCATCTAATCCGACCTTCCCCATCCCTCATTATTCCCCCAAATCCCATGTTCTAGCTCCCCTCACTCCGCCTAATCCCCCGCTCATCCCCCCAGCCCCCCGTCCCCCCTCGAGCCAATCTGTCTCATGCCCTCTTCGATTATGGTTTCTTGATGAAATTTTCACGCTTTGCCGACTTTCCATTACGCGAGGCGGCGGTTCGATTAGTGGACCCCCGCTGACTCCGGCCGGCGGGGGGGTTGTTGCGTGACTTGACCCCCTCTTGACCCCCGCACTGACCACTCGTAACCCCAGCTTGACCCACACACGACCACTCGTAGTCCCCTCTTGACCTCCTCACTGACCACTCGTAATCCCCTCTTGAATTCCTCACTGACCACTCGTAATCCCCTCTTGACCCACACACTGACCACTCGTAATCCTCTCTTGACCNGCTGGTGGGGTTGAGGAGGTTAGTGGGCCTTGAGGAACTAGAGGGGCTGGTGGGGTTGAGGAGGTTAGTGGGCCTTGAGGAGCTAGAGGGGCTGGTGGGGTTGAGGAGGTTAGTGGGCCTTGAGGAACTAGAGGGGCTGGTGGGGTTGAGGAGATTAGTGGGCCTTGAGGAGCTAGAGGGGCTGGTGGGGTTGAGGAGGTTAGTGGACCTTGAGGAGCTAGAGGGGCTGGTGGGGTTGAGAAGGTTAGTGGACCTTGAGGAGCTAGAGGGGCGGGTGGGGTTGAGGAGGTTAGTGGACCTTGAGGAGCTAGAGGGGCTGGTGGGGTTGAGGAGATTAGTGGGCCTTGAGGAACTAGAGGGGCTGGTGGGGTTGAGGAGGTTAGTGGGCCTTGAGGAGCTAGAGGGGCTGGTGGGGTTGGCGGGACCTATAAGGAGCTAGAGGGGTTGGTACGTGGGGCTGATGGGGCTGGTGGAGCTGGGAAAGGGGCGGGACCGATGGCCGGACAATGGATGGAGGGACATTAATGGGTTATTACGCAGGATTACCGGGCAATTGTGCACCTGATCCACGCGGGGGACAGGCCTGTCGGGTGCCGGGGGGAGGGGGGGATGGAGGAAGAGGTGAAGGGAGGAGAGAAGGGGGAGAACTGAGGAATAAGGGCAAGGATGAAGAAGGTACATGGGGAGGGTAGGCAGAAGCAAGTAAGATTGAGAAGAAATTTGGAATAGAGATGGGAGGAAAAATGAAAGAAACGCCGTGGGTAAATAAGATTTACGAATGATAGTTAAAAAAAGAAAGAAGGAAGCGGTAGGAGAGAAAACGAAGATGATGAAGAGAAAAAGGTTGCCGATTGGCAGAGAAATGCATAACGTGTACTTCATGTAGTGCATAACGACCGCCTAGTACATGAAATAGATATTCATGGGGCGAGTCAAGTAATGGGAGGTTACGTGGAGTTATTAGTCTGAAAAAGTATTTATTACTTCACCAGTTCTGGGCTGTCTGTATGTACATTGGTCGATGCAGGCAAATTACACAGATTCATCGATGTATGCAATGCAATTCGTTGATGCCATTATCTTTTGTCCGTATGAATGAATTAGTTTTTCAATGTGAACAAAGAAACAGTTGATCAAGAGACCTAATCCCTCTCTATTTCACTAGTTAGGACACAGCCTCCACGGCCCTCCCCTAATCCCTTACATTCTCCCCGGCCCTTCATCTCTCTATTACATTCTCCCCATCTTCCTTCAACCCACCTCTCAATTCTCCGGCCCTTCTACTCCATCCATTCCACTCTCCCCATCCTTATCCTCACTCCTCCCTCCTCCCACTCCCCATCTCAGCACCCTACCTCCCTCCTTCTCTTACTTCTATTTTTACTCCCCACCACTTCTCAACTCTACAGCCCTCCTACTCTTCCCCCTTTGTTCTCCTCCTTTCATCCCCCTCTCACCGGTATCACCCCCAGCTCCCTGTAAACACCCCATCCCCCCTCCTCTCCCTCAAGACAGCGAGGGGCGCGGCGCCCCCCGCCCCCGTTTCGTCGGTAATTGTCTGGCCAGAACAACACAGCCGGAGATGAGTTGGAAGTCCTCGGAAATTGGCAATAATCCGCGCAGTGTCGGACCGTCCGGTAGCGGGGGGCGGCGACCCCTGGGGAGGAGGAGGGGGAGTGATCAGTGAGGGGTGGGGATCAAACAGAGTTAGGGGCAGGTGGGAGGATGAGAAAGAAGAGGGTTGGGAGGAAGGTTATGAGGAAGAAAACGAAAGTGTCTGTTGTAACGGTCGTCTGTTGTAACGGTAGCCTGTTGCAACGGTCGTCTGTTGTAACGGTCGTCTGTTGTAACGGTCGTCTGTTGTAGCGGTGGTCTGTTGTAACCATCGATACCCCTAAACCTGCTACGATTTCATAACCATCAACCGTGAAATATTAACCGTCTTAACCGTACTTGAGTCACCAAGACCTGCATCAACAACTTCACACAAATTCCAAAATCTCCTCGAAGTTGAATTTTCATTCCTACTTTGGAATAAAAATCCTACTTTCAACGGATTTGGTAACTCTATCCAATCAAGCAACGTGTACAACAAATGAGATTGCTTGTTTGAACAAGTAAGTGCAGGATTCAGCCACTAATTCAATTTTGAAATTGAATTCATCATTCATCAATACGACCCAATTTCCACCATCAACAAAAAGCTAAAAAAAGTGCTGAGAATGGGTTGAGTTGTTTTCGCCATTCCCCATTTTCACCACATTAGGTAGTTCAAGTTGTTAAATTTCAAAGTGAAGGTAGAAATTTTTTCTATATCATCTCTTTCATCCAGTCTCTTGCTACAAGTAGTTATCCAAGCCGAACGGTCCGAGATTGCAGGCGGAGATTTTATCCATCAGTTGTTCGGTTTCCCCACTACAAGATCCAATCCAAAGTCGAGTTTGATGATGGATATAATATCCTTTGGTAACTCCATTGTTCACTGCAAAGTGATCTAAACCCATAGGGTCTGAGATTGCAGATGGAGATTATATCCTTTGTTAACTCCATTTTTCCCTGCAAAGTGATCCTAAACATAAGGTCTTGGATTGCAGGCGGAGGTTTTATCCCGCAGGACCCTGTTTTCCATCAAGCAGTAGCAAGAGGTAGTAGTTTATAGGATTGAACCGCTCCCTCACAGCCAGTGAGATTGCCAGTCCACTCTGGAAATCGCTCCTTAACGGCTAGGATTGCCCACACGGAGTTTTCCCTCATTCTCGCCTCCCCAAGTCCCCCCCAAGGCAGTGGGGATCGTTGTCCAAGTCTTGCTCTCTGGCGCAGCTTACTCTTGATGCCTCCGAAATTACAGTGCGCCCGATAGCATCGGCGCGCAAACGAGCGTTCAGCTTGCGCGCTCCTCGGGACTAGATCCTTGCTCGTAACTCCCCTGGCCGGAGGAGCCTTGCATCAAAGCTACACCATCTAATTCTCAGCACAGTGCTTCACTAACACCATCTAATTCTCAGCACAGTGCTTCACTACAGCTTCAGATTGGTTCGTTAATCGCCGGCAATGGTGGAGGTTGAAGTCGTGCCGGGCTGCTCTTCGTGGGACGGGCTTGACTGAGACAACCTTACTAAGTGAACCTGACGACGTCGCTCGTGTCATAATGTTTCGTCCACAACAACCATACTAAGTGAACCTGACGGCGCGTCGCGCGTCATAGTGTTTCGTCCGTGTCACTTATCACTCTTGACTTCCAGTAAATTTTATAAAGACCTTCCTTACTTATCTGTCAATTTTATTGCATTCCGTTATTATGCGAAGATTATCTTCTTTTCTTAATTTTATTAATGGAATCTGCTAACCTTGGTCACTGGCCACGGCTGGATGAGTTCAGATCCACCGTGAACGATATCTTAAGGAGCTCTGATTGAATTATTATGGGCGCGCAATAACGCTCGTTGCAGAACACGCGATGCTCTCGTCTTATCTATAATTAAATCACTTCATTTACTAAATTGTTCTATTATTTTTGCACGGCATCCTGGCCGGCGGTGCGGAAAATACGAGTCCATGAACAGGCAATGGATATTCACTGCATCACTGCACCGTGCAGTGGTGAGCGCACTACATGCTGCGCAGTGATGAGCGTAGCAAAGCTTTAAATAACTTCTTAATTTTGAAGAGCCATAGTTAATCAAATTTTAAATTTTTGTTAAACGTAAACTCTAAAAAATAGTCGCACAGGACCTGGTTGCTTCTCAGTGACATCCTTCAGCTCTTGCTTCTGATGCGCTTGAATAAAAACTGTGAAATATCTCGAGAAATTACAAGACCAACTGAGCCTTGTTAACACATGACACTATACAGGCACACATGGACGTGGCACTGCCACACACTGACAGGGACGTGGCACTGCCACACACTGACAGGGACGTGGCACTGGCACACACTGACAGGGACGTGGCACTGGCACACACTGACAGGGACGTGGCACTGGCACACACTGACAGGGACGTGGCACTGGCACACACTGACAGGGACGTGGCACTGGCTTACACTGACAGGGACGTGGCACTGGCACACACTGACAGGGACGTGGCACTGGCACACACTGACAGGGACGTGGCACTGCCACACACTGACAGTCAGACAGCAATGTGGCACTATCCCACAACAAAGTGGCACTGGCAGGCAACTATGTGGCTCTGCCACACCCAAGATGGCATTTCCGTAATAACCGAAGTCGCCGCAGTAGCCACGTAAAGCCACAAATGTGGCGTCATGGTAACGCCACCCGCCACATAAAGCCACAGCGACGGCTTCGCTTAAGAGACTCACGACTCCATTAGGTGATGATGCGTCTTCCCCAACCCCTTCTTAGGCTCTCTTCCCCACCGACTTTCTTGCAATCCCATCTCCAAATTACCTCATCCCCTATTGTTCTTCCCTCTTGGAAACCCCATTCACCCTCCCGTCAAGCTGGCCTCCTCCTCCTCGATCCTGGGAATGAGATTTTCAGATCGAAATATTCTATATTGATATCAAGTCCCAAAACTATCAGCACTGATAAGTCCAAAAACTCCCAAAAACTCCCCAAAGTAACAACAATTTAAGTTCTTCAAGGCTCAATAATGAAGATTCCAAACCTATAAGGAAGAAGTCCCAGAGTCCCAGAAAACGTCAATTCCCCTAGTCCCAAAAGTCCCCAAGTCCCTTACGTCAACAAAGCTGTTTTCGCCGGTCCCGCGCCGCTGTTTTCCGGAGGTCTAAGCCAGGGTGAGAAATTCCTGATGGCCAGCTCGAAAAGTTGTTGGCTCCGCTGGCCATCAGCAGTCACTTATGACGGGACCAGTGGCCATCAGCAGCTACTGATGACAGACCAGTGGCCATCAGCAGCCACTGATGACAGACCAGTGGCCATCAGCAGCCACTGATGACAGACCAGCGTCCATCAGCAGGCACTAATGACAGACCAGCGGCCATCAGCAGGCACTAATGACAGACCAGCGGCCATCAGCAGCCACTAATGTCAGACCAGTGGCCATCAACAGCCACTAATGACAGACCGGTGGCCATCAGCAGCCACTAATGACAGACCAGTGGCCATCAACAGCCACTAATGACAGACCAGTGACGAACAGCAGCCACTTTCCCCATTAAGTTTATCTCCTCTCGATATCCCCAGTCGTCCTCCCCTTAAAATCGTCCCCCACGCCCTCCTACTCCCCTCACCTCCCTCCATCATCCCCACTCATCCCCCCTTCCCCACGCCTGCCCCCAACACGCTCGTCGCATGTCAGGCGTGGACGAGGACGCGCGGGGAAGCAATTAAGAAGGTCACGAGCCCCGCCGTGTGGGGAGGGTTGGCTGGAGGGGGTAATGTTGTGGGGAGTGGGGAATAATATATTAAGAAGAGAGTAGGAGAGGAATGGAATAATGGGAAAAACATGGAGGGGGATGATAAATATACGACACTCGCTACTCAAGTCTTGCCACTCACTATCCACTCTCACTGCCACTCGCCACTTACTTGTCGCCATTCTTCGAGAAAAAACTTCTCAAAACTTGACAACAATTCCCCGCCATCTACCACTAACCTGCCACTCTGCCATTCTCACCACTCACCCGCTACTCTGCCACTCTCGTCACTCACCTGCCACTCTGCCACTCTCGCCACTCACGTGCTACTCTGCCACTCTCGTCATTCACCTGCTACTCTGCCGCTCACCTGTTACTCTGCCACTCTCGTCACTCACCTGCTACTCTGCCACTCCTCGCCACTCACCTGCTACTCTGCCACTCCTCGCCACTCACCTGCTACTCTGCCAATCTCGTCACTCACCTGCTACTCTGCCGCTCACCTGCTACTCTGACACTCTCTCCACTCACCTGCTACTCTGACACTCTCTCCACTCACCTGCTACTCTGACACTCTCTCCACTCACCTGCTACTCTGACACTCTCTCCACTCACCTGCTACTCTGACACTCTCTCCACTCACCTGCTACTCTGACACTCTCTCCACTCACCTGCTACTCTGACACTCTCTCCACTCACCTGCTACTCTGACACTCTCTCCACTCACCTGCTACTCTGACACTCTCTCCACTCACCTGCTACTCTGACACTCTCTCCACTCACCTGCTACTCTGACACTCTCTCCACTCACCTGCTACTCTGACACTCTCTCCACTCACCTGCTACTCTGACACTCTCTCCACTCACCTGCTACTCTGACACTCTCTCCACTCACCTGCTACTCTGACACTCTCTCCACTCACCTGCTACTCTGACACTCTCTCCACTCACCTGCTACTCTGACACTCTCTCCACTCACCTGCTACTCTGACACTCTCTCCACTCACCTGCTACTCTGACACTCTCTCCACTCACCTGCTACTCTGACACTCTCTCCACTCACCTGCTACTCTGACACTCTCTCCACTCACCTGCTACTCTGACACTCTCTCCACTCACCTGCTACTCTGACACTCTCTCNTCTGCCACTCTCGCTACTCACCTGCTACTCTGCCACTCTCGCTACTCACCTGCTACTCTGCCACTCTCGCCACTCACCTGCTACTCTGCCACTCTCGCCACTCACCTGCTACTCTGCCACTCTCGCCACTCATCTGCTACTCTGCCACTGTCGCCACTAACCTGCTACTCTGCCATTCTCGCCACTAACCTGCTACTCTGCCTCTCTCGCCACTCACCTGCTACTTTGCCCCTCACTACTCATTTACTACTATGCCACTCTCGCCATCATTTTAAGTCTCGACTCATAAGCCGCACATACAGTATCTAAAAGTACGTACTTTTAGGTACTGCACGTAGCCAACAGCCGATGATGTACTGTCAGCATGAACGGCAAACCCAGCACGGGAGGATGCATGGCATCTCCAGCGCCCCGCGCTCAGCTCATCTGAGCGCGGGGGAAAATTCTGCGGTGTGCGAAATGTCTACGCCGAGAGATCGTTTCGTCTTCCTGCATATTCGGTGGTTGACTGTACCTCTGTTGACGGATGCCGATGGCCAAACGCCGCACAGAAACGCTCACCGTCCATTGGCGCCGTTAATCAATGTCTTGCCAGCGTCGTAACCGTGCTAGACGTCATCTGCAATCCTCGTAGCGAAGGCGATATCAGCGTCGATAAATTTACCCCGCAGCAACAACAAACTTACGAGGAACTTCAGGAACTTGCGGATGTTTTGAGGACTGAAAACAGCGGCACCGAGAAGAAGTCGTCAGTTGTGAATGTGATAGAGGATCTGATGGCTTTTCGGAGGTGCATCGTAGAAGGTTTTGAGTCTGCCCCGCCCAGCTAGCGTTCACTAAGAGAAAAAGGCTCCCTATTTTGAAACACATGGGTGTTTCAAAGCCTCCCCGAGCTTGACGCTCTTATATTTGTGCGGCTAGCGTCGCGTGGTCAGTGCGCCGAATGCTGTCATAGGAGGTGGTTGTGTGGAGCCGCCGCTCATGAATGCCACGAATCTACACTGCTTACGGTTAATTGGCCCAACTCAATTCGATTAATTGTTTCAACTCACTGCTGTTCTTTTGTCAATAGTAATGTTAACGAGCGACGTCTATACCATTCAATCGCACAAGAAGTTGATCATAAAATCGAAGATTTATTCTGGTAGTACCGCGCGCAAGACAAAACAAACAC